GTACGCCACAGGGCTGCTGGAACCCGAATTGTGCTTGTTAGGATTCTCAAAAACTCCTGCTTTGCGCATTTTACGCAAGAGGCGTTGGTGAGGGACGCTGCCAAAAGCCTTTTTGAAATCAATGTAGATGATATGCACCATTTTTCTTTCTTGACAGGCTTTGGTCCGGCGTTCAAGTGAGAAGAGCTGGTCTGTAGGACGGGACCTGCTACAGCGAAAGGCGGGTGTGGAACCGGAGAGGCATGATTCCGCTCGAGGAACAGCATCAGCACCTACTTAATGATTTTCTCCATTCTTTTCCAACAAGTACAGTTAAGATTCACCGGCTTGTAAGTTTTCTTTTACAATCTTACCACACTTTTTTGTTTGAAACCACTTACTCCACTGTGCCGAACACACGCCTGCTTTACAATTGAAACACGTTTGCTATGCCGACTTTAAGGCTCTTCAACATTCATTTACTTTTATCCTTTCCCATCCATTTGGATTGTGCTTTTGATATTTCTGCATAGAATTCATGAGATCTACTTCGGTAGTTCGTGAGAAAGTTGTCATTTTCCCCAAACTTTTATTATCCTCACCTTTCTCGAACAGTTTTCTCTAGGACTGCGACAAAGGATCATCCAGAATTTAGCAGACTGTATCCCACTTACGTTGTCCGCGCTATATTTCACTTTCTGCACGTTTTTTCCACTTGTCATGATCTCTTGCCTGAAATGTCCATCTTTTCCTTCGTAAATCGTGTTCTTGGGGCAATCCGATTTTCTCCCTAACCTGCCTCTCAGGAAAACAATTGGGAACATATTGACGGCGCGCTGTAACCCGCACCCCATTTCGCTCACTGCTCTTTCACCAGAATTCCTTTTCGGTCGCTGGGATTTCGAGGCCTCACTGCTATTTTTGGTGTCACACTAGGTCTGTCAAAACATAGCATCCCGGACAGGTTGTTCTCAACTGCTGATCTGTCATTAAAGTTTCGTTCTACCATCAGGGCCAACTTAACATGCCATTCTATATCCTTTGCGAAGTATTTCTTCACATAAAGCTTTAACGAAAGAAGCGTTTTCTGATCCCTCACGCCACTTTTTAAAGCCCTTAGCGCAAATAACAAGTGTGTGGCGCATTTAGCTGCCCTTAGACACTGTTAAGATGGCCCACGTGAGGGAGTTATTAGAACATCGAGGTCCTTCCGTTTGTCGACATATGAAAAGTGTTGTCCAGCGAAAATATATTAGGAGGAATCATCGTCCTCATTGTTCCTTTTAAAACAGAGCTTTAAAATCACAGACTTGCTAACCTTGAAATGTAAGATCCAAAGAACAGAACGAAGGAAAAGATGGACATTTCAGACAAGAGATCATGACAAGTGGAAAAAACGTGCAGAAAGTGAAATATAGCGCGGACAACGTAAGTGGGATACAGTCTGCTAAATTCTGGATGATCCTTTGTCGCAGTCCTAGAGAAAACTGTTCGAGAAAGGTGAGGATAATAAAAGTTTGGGGAAAATGACAACTTTCTCACGAACTACCGAAGTAGATCTCATGAATTCTATGCAGAAATATCAAAAGCACAATCCAAATGGATGGGAAAGGATAAAAGTAAATGAATGTTGAAGAGCCTTAAAGTCGGCATAGCAAACGTGTTTCAATTGTAAAGCAGGCGTGTGTTCGGCACAGTGGAGTAAGTGGTTTCAAACAAAAAAGTGTGGCAAGCTTGTTAAAGTAGGTTATTCTATATTGTGAGTACTTTGCGCCCCTATTTCGAGACCAGATTGCGGCGTAAGATGGCGTCTTTTGACATACGTAATTTGGGAAGAAGTGCGAGACTCGACGATGAGTGGAAAGGACGTGACGGGTACTGCGAGGGTTGTATGCGGGAGTAACAGTTAAATAGGATTGTAGTTCGAGGTTTCGTCTTTGTTAGGCGAGGAAGTTTGCAGGAGTATGATATTTTGTTAAGAGAATGCAGATGATAGTGTAGGGAAAAGGAAGGAGCACGGGATTTAGGAACTTGGCGCAGGTGATCAACACAATGTCGTCGTTGTTGCAGGTCATGTGCCTCTTCCGTGACAGCAATATTGAATCCTTTGATACTGGTCACGTCCTCCTCTTCGCCAGGAACGATCCAGCAAGTTTTGGCGTTGCGTAAGAAAACGCGGAAAGGGCCTTTGTTTGGTAGTTCCAAGGGTTTGCGCACTCGGTCGCATCGCACAAAGACATTTGGCTAGGGAAGTTGCCAGGTGGAGACTTGTTGTGGCGTTGAATCTTGCTCCGTTGGAAGCTTGGACATAACCGTGTCCAATGTGCTTATGTGAAAGGTGAATTTATTTTACGAATTTTGAGTTATGAATAGGGAGCTCAAGGGCGAAAGCCTTCTTCCCTTAATAAAGTGACTGAAATCTTTGGCATCTTTGTTAATGTCAGGCCAGGAAAACCTTCGCGCGAGGAGCTTTTGCTAAGCTCGAATCTCAGGATGGGATATTCCACGAAGAGTGTGAAACACAGCTCGACGACCCAAGGGGCACGAAAAGACAATGGGAAGAAGTTCATTAATCACAGGATGTGGTGCCAGTGCTGGTGGTGAATGGAACTTTCACGAGCTGGAGACTACTAACGGATTCGTAGCCAGGACAATCGACTCGTGTTTTCTGAGCCGCCAGAGCACTAAGGTCAATCCCTTGTGATAGTTTCATTGCAAAGCGGAAGGCCTTCGTGTATTTTAAGCAAGTTATGAAAAAAATCTGGACTCTTTGTCTTTAAACTAGATAATTACTCTTTTATGCTTCTGCTTTGTTTAGTTACACCAATCCTCTTAATCTCTTACTGGTGTTAACTTCAAAACATTTCATTCTCTTCGCGTTTTTACCCGATGTCGGCGCCGAAGCTACAAGTGAGGATAAACGCTACAGAAATTTAGTTGCGTATTTTGTCGGGCTAAAAGTAACTTTAATTTGTTTATTTTAGAGAATAGTTTTGGAGACGAAGGCCTGTGGGCCAATTGCTGTGTACCTTCACGTATGCGTACATGTTTCCCTTAAACGCTTCTTGAAATAGGGAGGTCGTACAGGGAAAGATGTAGCAGCTATCACAGTTCATGACCTTGGTTGCAACCGTAAGCCAGTTTATGTCTAATTGTGATTTGAAGACCACGAATTTTATGAATTTGTTACCCACGAGCACATGATGCAGGTGACACAACGATGCTTTTGGGTGCACGTCGAAGTTCCTGGGCAAGGTGACCATGACCCAGAGTTGCCAGCTAAGTAAGTATTAAGTGATTATAAAAAATCTGGCATACTATCAGCGCTTGTATTTTTATGTACTTGAGCAGCGATATCTATTATGGAGATATATATCGTCATAATAGAATTTGCTTTAAAACTTGCGGAAATTCTTTAGGTCTCTTATTCGTTTTTTTCTGGGTATTATTTATTAATCACAATATACATTTCACTGCATGTCGTTTTACATTTGTAGCTTCCGGTCATTTTGATTTTACCATGTTGCAGTAGATTTTCTTAATTGCACCTTAACATATATTAACTGCGCTTACGAGGTCTTGATAACACTGGTTGAATGGAAAACAAAATATGTGTCTGAAGATAAGTTTCATGTAACAATATCATAGTTTCTTGGATATTTTGGTGTATTTACATGCTAATTTCGGAAAATACTCAAGAGTGATGTCCCTTTACATGTTTATGTGGTTTTTGAGATTACAATATCTTGTGTACTGTACACAACGCCTGAGAATATTTGTTATATGTGAACGTTTGAAGGAAGTTCATGGCAATAATGCAGCCGTAGCTTCAAAGTTAACCGAACAAGAGTTTATTCAAAACCATATATTTTTTTCTCATAGAGGTAAATCAGAAAATTTCAAATTTCAAATCTTTATCCAGACGTTCTAGTCAGATCTATTAATGGACAACACATTTATTGTTTGCCCCATATTGCCTTTACTTTAAAATTTTCTTTGGGCTGTCGACGTTGTGGTATTTGCTCATTCTTTTTGCGGAATTCTAATTGCTCCTGCTAATACCATCTTAGTGGTTTTTATTTTCAATATTTTTCTAAAAATGACACGCTTTCGTTTAGGTTTTATATTTTTTGCTATTTCTGATGGCTATATTTTATATTATAGTTTTCAGTTTCCGAGAATGCAACAGATTGCGGAGGGCCTGTCTGAAATCTGTGACAGTCTAGAGTAAGTATGCTTTCTTTTAAGTCACTCTAATGCCAAACAAAAGACTCAAGCACGTCGTTCTCTTGGGGGATGGTGCTGGAGCAAATATATTGGCTCGCCTGGCTGTAAGTTCTTTAGGCAGTGAACTAAGCATCTTTTGTAGATGCTTAGACAAGATATAACATTGGGCGCAATTCTTATACACTGTACCGGAACCACCGCTGGATTCATGGAATCTTTGCGTGATAAGGTAAATCTATTTTTCTGGCTTTGTTAACTTACTTTTTGCTGAATTTTTATCGTTTACCTTGATGGTGGTAGTTTTTTTGAAAGAAGCTTTTACGGGGCAAGTATAGAAAATACTGCTTGACTAAGCGACGAATCAAACGCATCACTAATTTGCATGCCCTAAGAAGTGTTTTACTTATTTATAAGTACTTATGAGACGTCCAGAAGAAAAAGCCGAATTTACCTTATTATCAAATGGCATATCCGACAAAACAGAATGAGTTCTTAACTGTAATAATTATATTTCAATACGACTATGTCAGCTGTACTTGGTTAAAGTTAACTCAAGTTTATATTAGGCAAATTAGTGGCCAATGCATTTGCTTTTGATGATTTTTTACTTTAATTTACATTCCAACAGTTCCCGACGTGCACGTTTGATTCATCCATTATGTCATCTTGCATACAATTTGTAGTTCATATTTCCCGCTCTAAGTTTGCCTAGATGCCCGAAGAAAAACGTATACTACGTGTAAACTCATTTCATGTTTTGCAGATTAACGGTTGGAAACTTAATACTATCGGTATGAATCCGAGCGTGGAGTCATATCTCCTACTTCACCGCTTTGGCCTGGTAAGTTTTTAGGGTGTTTTTATATTATTTGTATTCCGTATTTGAATAGCAGCTCCAAATTATCCTTTGCGCGCAGGTTTTCTTTAGTTACCATACATATAGTCTCTCTTCTGTTTCACAGTTTTAATTTCCTTATTTGGAACACTGGTTTATCATGGGTATGTGAACAACTTGGATAAAATATATCTAAGGAAAGTTATGCGAAAACCTTTTAGATATTGTGCGATGAAAGTCACAGGATATATTAAATAATTTATTGTAAAAAACAATACGTTACAATCTGAAACAAGCTTTTAAATACAAGCTTAGTAGTAAAAGACAGTCGTAATTTTGCAACCAGGCACTTACCACCTTAACGCTGTAGACCAATTTGCCATATTCTAACACGGAAATATGTAGATCGCTATTTGGAATGTGTAGGCTGCAGCCGATTACTGGTCAATATCTTTATGTATAATGTCTAAAATTAATTATTTCATTTTTAATAAATAAATTGGCCTTTCTTGTTTTGCTTGACAGAACCACATCACTTTTCAGGCATTCACAAACGCTTATAGCAAATTATAGACGTATGTATGAAATATATAACATAGTCAATGATATAAATGCCTAGGAACTTGCCTGTGCTTTGACATACAATCATTCAGAACACACTCCACTTGTTTGCAGAAGATAGCGGTTGTATCTACGCCCCGACCTAGCGCGTTGGATAGTCGTCCATGTCCAAAAGTCACTAGTTTTTCAAAACTTAGTCTAAGTTTACCACAAAGTTGTTGTTTTCTGATTTTGTGAATTTGACTGCAAAGAAACAGTTATACCTTCGCTGCTTTTTTTAAAATCTCGTGTTATCTAAAATAAGTTTCAGGACTGTGATATTTTGTCATTGACTGTTAGGTGTTAAGTTATTTGAACGAATTGACACATATTCTTATGCTCCAATGCTTAAAGTTGCTTGAACGCCCAACACATTTACTTATATTATGATCCGGACTAAAACAGTATGCTCCTGTTTCCAATCTTCTAGTATTCGAGCTGTTTCCAAGCAGTTTTACGCCAATGCACATACACACATTTTGCCTTTTCAGCAAGATGAAACGGTAACTTTACCCCTTTCAGCATTCTCTTCGAATGCATCTGCCTGCCTTTCTGCATGCTATTTGCCATCCAAATCTCACCTCTCTGTGCTGTCTTGCTTGCAATTTAGCCATCGTATTTGTATGAATGTCCGCTTTTGGACTCAGAGCAGTACTGTTCTTCAAAGCAACATTTCACTTGCTTTATTACATCAATGATCTAACCGATAGACTATCCACCGTCTTTAAAGGCCTAGATTTATTAATTCCTACGAAACATTATGAGGCGGACACCAAACAGTCTAATTCCTCCGCGAACTTTTAAATTTTAAACCAAAAGGCATGCGTTTTTGCTGCACGCTTCATTTCGCTTCTTTAATTCTCCGGCTTTTTCATCCCTTCCCTCACACCCAGACGAATTTCTCCCCGTAAACTACTTTGTTACTTGAATTTTCCCCACTTCGTGCTTACATTGTAGATAAACGCAGCAACCACGGAAGTGGAGTTAAAACAAGCAATTAAGAACTTCCGCCAATCTCTCCGTGAAACAATGAATCCCAAAAACCTCAATAAATTTATTCAGGCCTTTATGGAGTGAGTTTTGGAAGTTCATTTCGGGTGTCAACGCTATTTCTTGCACTCTTTTTTCCAAAAAACAACATAACTTTGCAAGTTTGACCGGATACCTGGCTAACACCAAAGTGTAGGAGGGATGTGTACGCTTAAGGGTTAGATATTTATAGACCTGCGCTACGACGGAAAGCTGAAAATTGGTTTTAAGTCCCTCAAAAGCAGAAAAGTCTTTCTTGATCTTGTTGCCTTTAGTGATTTTGTTTTTTTTTGAATTTTATGTCAAATACACTTATCTCTACCAAGTCGTTTAAATACTTAGTGCATTAGGATTTTGTCTGCTTCTGAAACTTTCTCTAAAAACTCACAATTGTCATGTCGTTTGATTTCTTAAATGCACCAGGATCACAAGATCAATGTGTTTTTAGTACATTACTTTATCCAAAGTTCGACAACAGTACTTTCTCTTCGTTTCAGACGAACCAACATTACAGAGTCCATCGGCAACCTGAAGTAGGTGTTACTGCCCTTCTGGATTTTTTGCTAGCAGTTATTTTGCATATGATTTTTAAGTTCAGTTACTAGTCCTCTAAGGTAGCCCTATCATGTGCAAATTGGCGAATTTTATCTGAAAACCAATGTAAATAATAGCAACGTCGTAGCTGTCTGACTTTATTGCAACTAAAATCCATGTACACCGCTGGCGTCTTGTAAGATTTCTTGCGATTTTACAATATTATTGATATTAACAGCATTAATTGGACAAACTATTCAACATTTTTTCGGTCGTGTTTTGCTAAAAGGGACCGTAGTAGAAAATGTTCTTAATCGTTAATAATTTCCCTTCTTAGATCAACGTAGTAAATCGTATTCGCACCACACTTATTTTATTCCTCTGGCGTCTCTTATGCTTTTGGATAGATAACTTAGTAGAAACGTTAACCAAGTGAAGCGACTCTGCTCCGCATACTTTAATATGAAGCATGACTTCCTAGCATAAAGGATGTATAGTATTGGTTATGGGGCTATGCTTTTTTACTATTCATTTAAAAACTCCAAAGACTGAATAAATAGTCACATCGTATCTATTTTTACGTACTCATCTATGACCCAGAGCAGACGGTAGACATAGCGGTTCACATGTGTCTAAATCTTTGCTAATTAGGCGATGTTGGTAAGTTCCCTCAGCTGCGCTGACTGGCCATCGGTGTAGGTTTATGACTTACGATACTTACCGTCCTCTTCTCTCCGACTAGCGAAAGATCACCTTACTGACTATGAGTATTATTTCTATGCTAGCAAGTTACAAACTTCAGAAGCGAATGCCTCATTTCAACCTTGTTTGCGCAACTTTCCATGCCATATACGGAGATATTTTCGAGGTCTTTAAGAACAGTAGTTAGCTAAAGTCAGCTCTCGACACAATCGAAGATGCCAATTCCAACGATCGCATTTGCATTTTCTTAGGGTTAGATGTAGTTATTTTGGCCAAATACATTGAAATTGGTCTTTCGTTCTAACGTAAGAATGCGATGTTATTATAAGAAGGGCGAAGGAGAGGACCCATCCAATTTTAGAGACACCCATAACGGAAATAGGAGAGATAAAAGCGTTTCCAGGATCAAAAGTGATTTACAACACATCAGATAATAGTACGTGCACGACGGTGCAAGCGTTTTAAAGGAACTAAATAGAAATACCTACCAGCACTTGGACAGAAAGTTCACCTAAACGCAAGTTTTGTTAAAGTGGGCGAATTTTATAAACGCAATAACAGTCAAGTTTTTGAATTTCTATGTTCCCAATCTTATCAATCAAGTCTGCAGCTAACTTTTTCCATTCCTACTCTCAGTGGACCAAAGTGACAAGAAACACGGATAATTATAGCTTATTTTTAAAAAAGGCTGCAAGATAAAACTGGGCGGATTTAAACAGTTAACAAAACAGACAAACAGCCGATGAAAAAAGGGGCTGGTGTGCATAGACTAAGGTACACAGGGTTGAAGAGAGTTACTTTTAATTGTCGCTTCATGCTGTTGTAAAAGACACTATAAATACTGTCACTACCAGCCTGTATGCAGCAAAAACGGCAACAGAAAGAACCCGGCTACCACCAGCACCACATATGCCCAACACGCACCCGCTTATATTAAAAAGCCTTCCATTTTTATCGCCTTGTCATCGTCATGCTTATGGACGACCAACTGCTAGCATATGTTTAGTTAACAGACATCACGCAACCATTATCTAACCTTTAATTTCAACAGTTTTTATTGTCAATTAGTAGGAGTAGCCTGGTTTTGAGAATGTATCCGAAGGTAGATAGCATTACCGGCAAAGACGAGGGAAACTAGAATGGCTACTTCTGGTTCATTAGCCGCTATCAGCCAGTCATACAAAATCCCAAGTCGTTCACCACCCGAGGCTCGGACCCACGGCCTTCTGGTCAGCAGTTTAACCATTGGGCCACAGGCTCATTGTCCTAAGGTTTATATCGGGAATATTGACACTCGTTATCAATGCTATCTGCCTAAACTTCTAGCGACTGGGCGCCTACTGGCAAGGATCAAGAATGAGTCCCAAGGCAGGGTACGACGAGTAAGTTCCGTTAGCGGTCGGCGAACGTTCATCAGCGAATGTATCTGAAATTTTAATGTTGGATGTTTGTCAATGTGTGAGTCGTACGTTCTGTTGCGTGAAAGCTATTAACAGTGTAGGTTACGAGACACCCCTGCTTCATTGTGCTTCGAGCCTTTACAGGCAACTGTATAGCAGTCAGTGAAAACGAAGGGATGAGTGAGATGAGGATAGTTATTTCTGATTCGCTAGCCGTTGTCAACCAGTAATGATTAACCCTGCGGTTAAGGGCTCAAGCTTTAGACACAGGAGGCAACGGGAGGAGCACCTCCCAGAGCCTCATCGATACTTACCCTTCCCCACTAAAATGAGTATCCCCAATCGCAGCCGGCAGTAAACAGAGCCTGCAACTCAATGACTAGGGAATCCAGGTTACTGAAGTCTGAGGTTCAGATAAGGCTAGTTAACGATGGCTAATAAGTTAGAAATGATCTTCTTACTCTATTTTATCTTTTTCAGTACACACTTCTGTGTGTTTTAGTCATATATTTTCAGCGACCTGTAGATTCTCAGCGGTGTGGTGGGACTTAGCGCTCGCCCAAAACAATATTTTTAAAGAAGGTCTCACCAGGTGAAAAGATCGTATACAAGTATTTTGGAAGGATATCTTGACCGAAATATAACTAAATAAGGACTTCTAATTGTTTTTTGTTGGCTGAAGAAGTTTGTCCTTTTGTAAAATACTCGGGCGGCGTATGTTGATGTGATCCTAGGTAGCCTGTTAATGAGGGCTGATGTCTAAATCAGGATTTGTGCTGGTTGTGTGCTCTGAATCCAAAATTTCATTCAAGTTTAAACAACACATCACTAGTAGCAGCGAGTAGATCGTGAGTAAACATCAGTCTCCGAAAACTGCTTTCGCATAGTATTAATTAATCTTCATGGACACAGTAGGATATTCCTATTGAGAATTTGGTGTGGTAAGGGAGTTATGCATAGCACAGGAACTGTGAATCTACGAATGCACAGTCCTTTCCGTCTAAACATCGAGAAACTACGTTTAATATATTTCGGGAATCAACGCAATCTTGGAACAATGTGCTTCACGACAATCGCTCGCAAAAGGGTATTAAGTAGGGTTGTAATACTGATTATCGTGCAGCCCCATCTCAAGTCATTTTAGTCACAACAGAATGCCGAATTTTTAAAGGGCTTTTTTTCTGACAGCCTAAAAAGCACCTTCTGCGAAAACTGACTACTTATTTAATAAGCATTTAACCCAATGACTTTGGCTGCTCTTAGAAATTCAAATATACTTTATAGAAAACATTCACCAACTTATTCTTTCTTGTTCTCGTTTGTTAGAAACTGCGCCTTCTTCAAATTTTATACTTTAAGGAAGGGTTTATTTCGATTTTTAAATAGTTTCTAAATTTTGAGACTTACCGACCGTTACAACTGAATTCAGGGTTCAAAACTGCGTGCAGTGTACATCCTGTGTAAAAAAGTACGTTTTTCCATACGGTATGAGGAAGAGGTCACATAGTTCTCATAAAAATTTGCAATAGATGTAAATCATGCTGTAAATATTAACAGTAACATAAATAAATTGATGGATACGATGTATTATGAATGTACACTTCATAGTCGTAGAGATCTCATAATTAGAAATTTTTTAAAGCTGAAACATGCCCTTCCTTTAGGTGTAAAATTTGAGGAAGGCGCAATTTTCTATCAAATGAGCACAAGAAAAATTTTGCCAATGTTTTCTATAAAATATATTTCAGTTTATAAGGGCAGTCAAAATCAATGAGTTAAATGCATATGAAATAAATAGCCATTTTTACAGAAAATACTTTTTTAGGTTCTATTAAAGAAGCTCTTTAAAAATTCGGCGTTCTCTGGTGACTGAAATGACTTGAAGCCGCACGTGTGGCTACAAAATAATCAGTATTACAACCCTAACTATTGCTGTTTTACAAGTAATTATCAATCTTTCGCAAATTTCCGAATTTCGCATGAAATACCACCTGTACTGCACATAGGCATGCGAAGTATTTTCTCATGCATAAGTATCTGTTGTCCCTCTGAGCGGGCGAGTGCCTTTCACCAATTCGGAACGGAGAAGCAGCGTCTTGAGTTTTTGCACGTTTTTGTACTTTAATGAACATTCACTTTGCATCTACATTTTAAGCAAAAACCGCGTTTATGTTATTTTACGATTGGACACTGTTCTAGATCTGACATCTTCTAATGAGCATTAAGTTGGTTTTGCCGCGCAACTGCCTTTAGGCTCAAATTCCTTAAACACCGTCTTGTTAAATTTTTGACGAATCTTTCCTCAGACCTGCAACCTAATTTCCTTCTGTCTCAAAACTAGACGATTAACTGCGAAAACCGTTTCTTCGGCGCTGGGAAAAAAAGTACACTTTAAATATTAATTTTTTTCTCTTGCCAGATGTCCTGTTCTCTTCCTGACTGGCTCACTGGCCTCATTCAATCACACCGTATACACGCTCTACAACGCGCTCCAAAATTCTCTCAAGGACGAACCGGCCAGAAAAGCGGACGTGGAAATCCTGGAAATTGAAGAAGTAGCTAATGTTATGCGAGAACGGGTAAGTCTTGTTTTTCTTCTTCGCCTAGATCTCCCTCTCCCTGTCCACCCTTTTGTCTTCTCTTTGTCGCCATTGTTTTACTTCTTCGTTCCCTCGCAGCTTTACCTGCAGACCAAATTTGTGGGACGATTGAGACCGAATGTAATACTTAAGTTCATGGCAGTAGGGCGCTGACCGATCACTTTACAAGACAATTGTTCCAGTGTGCTTTGAGACTCACTCTCGAGTTCCACCTGTAACCGCACAGTGGTTAGTCTCATAGGCAGAAAAACACTACCAATAAAGGCAAGGAAGACTAGCTTTGGCTTATTAGTTGTTATCGAATAGCCTCAGGGGTTGCAAAACGTGGCTGCTGATAACTTATGAACCAGAAGTGACCATTCTAGTCTCCCTAGTCTTTGTCAGTAGCGTTTTGCTGTCTATTTGAGTTTGTCTTCCAAATAACTACTACAAAATGCTATCCAAAATGACTAGTGGTCAAACGATTGAACAGTTAATTTGGCGGTGGAAACGCGATGCAAACTTAAAAGTCCATCCGCTTTTATTATAATAAAATATGCCTTATTTTGCTTTACTGTTTGCCAGAAAGCATAAAGGGAACAAATTTTATCGAGTAAGTTAAAAAAATAATTGTACTAATGTAGAGAAAATATTTAGAAAACTCAAACAGAATGATTCGTCACAAAAAATAAAAATCCTGGTCACGTAGGAGCGACGTTTATCGATATTTGTGGACCGCAAGACATGCGACTAGTTGTTTTTTGAGTTGGAACTCCTGCAATCAGAATGAATCGAGAAATGTGACTCCTTTGTCAATGAATATTCTCGATCAACACAGGCGATACCCGAACTCATGCTTAAATGACAGAACGTTTGACCTATTGTTTACTGACCTACTACCCTACCCCGGGGTTGGGGTTTTGTCGACTGAAAACCATTCAAAAGAGGAAACAGCCCTATAATTTTTCTTGTATTGAGAAAAATAGATTTCAAGCTGTTGTTTATGCACAAAGAATGTCACGAGAGTCTAGTGCCAAAAGGAATCCGGAGGACGCTGGGTAGGTTAAACCCACGGAAATCTCAAACATTCACTAGGAGAAGTCACCTTTTATAAGGTTCAGCTTAATCTACCTGTTCTGTGCCCAGTGATGACGGGTTGTGCAATCGTCAAAAACAGTTTTTTTTGTTTGTTTATAAGATAAAAAGCGTAAAAAGCTATGCACTAGCTTTTGTTTATCCAAACAGACTTCCGAACCCGCACAATAAGTGGACAACTCTGCAACTCGGCAGTGGACATATGCGGTTGATGAAAATGTTGCTTATTTTAACGCAGAGGAGCGGGATGCAGACCATTGAAGTAAATGAGATAATTACGACCGAGTGCGATAATTAGCACAATGACCGGATTTCGACCAAAACACTACATATCTAACTTCTACTTAGCATCACGCTTAACGACTGGAGTTATGTGGCTTCGATCGGAGTTTTATAAAGCTCTTGCGGTCCAAAACCAACCCCGCCTTCTTTCCCTGTCAAAGTATGGTCTCCGTAAACTGATAGTTGATACTCGGGTAAAAATCACGCATTTCAGGTAGCATGGCAGACGCAGAGCCATAACTGAATGCAGTAGTTATTAACTCGGTAGTCATTTCTTATGTTTTTAATTTCTAGACTGAATAAAGCTAGTGCATTCGAGCAATTTTATGAATGGCTTGCACAGTGTTTACCCTTAGGTAAATGGGTGCGGCACAGCATGCTTTCCCGCGCTGAGCTTGTTTGTTTCGTAGGTGAAATTGTTGGACTACTTGTTAGAGCCCTTTTTTTCTCCTTACGTTTAGCCGGAAAAAGTATCTGAATGTGTGCAGAACTTCCTGCAAGGCCTTGGCGTAGGTAAGTGTTTCTGGGCTGTTTTACCGTTAGATGTTCTTTACAAGCCTAGGTTCTCGATCGGATTTTACTTTCTTTTTTCAAAATTTAACTAGTTTTGCGAATTCTTATTTATATGTGGCCAGTGGACTTCAATCTCTCTAGTTATCGGTTGTAAAGTACCTCAGATTTCCAATAGTACGCTATATTGTCGGACTTAGCAGACAGGAAAACAGAGCCAAGGTTGACAGGTTGAGTGACTATAGTAGAGGATCTCACAGTTAGATAGCAGAAGGGTAAGGGTTAATTATGTGAGCTCCTTGGTTTAACGTACATAGCCTGACCTGGTTTGGCTTATAACTTTATAGTAACGAGAAGCAACCTTCTGTGTGTCATCTGCCACATTCATATAACGAAATGCACAACTCTGTTTTATTAAGGTTTTTGTTTTTCAAATTCCCTTAATTTATCGAGAGTTGCATTTCTTTTATTCTTTGATTATCACTTTCAATTTCGCTGCTATATATAGGTCTAGAAAAATAAATTTGGCGGAAATTTACTGATTTTTTTGTGTTTTCTTGTACAAATTCCCTTGTTCGCCTGCAGTGACGCCCCACCCTTCAAAACACCATTATCACCATACCCGTTTTACATGATACTGGTGTTATTGGTGGCTAGGGAGGCTTACATAACCTACCGTTGTCGAGTGAATTGATGACAACCTTAAACTAAATATACATCCCTTCTAAAAGTCAGCTTTTCGTCGATAATTCGAACTTCAAATATGGTGACTCGTTTCTCCAGAAAAGCGTTCATTCCTGCCAAAAAACGACATTTTAGAGTAAGGCCCGTTGCTAGGTTCGAGAAGGGACGACAAAGATCACGCTAACTTGCGCTTTGGCGTTGACTTATATAGCACAAAATCACAATATCTCGCTACATCTGTTCCTGGTACATGACACAAACGTTTCTTGCCGTTTTCTCTTGGGGTCCCAGACTGATACGTAGCGATAAGAAGCGCTAGCGACAAAGACTAAGGACGCTTGAATCAACACTCCTACCATGGTAGGTCGGGTAGGCCAAGGCTGAAGGTGAATATTTATTTTCGTTCTGCATTAGCGAATATCACTCCCACCCGAGCTCCGTCGACAAGGAACAAGTGCAGTTAGCCAGACAACATGAACCGTTGGACTTAAATGCCCAATGTCTCACAGCCCAAACCGAAACATCCAGTGTGCAGTTTACGGAGTTGGCTGATGACAACTACTCAAGAGGAAATGACCACGACAGTGAGCCTAATATTTGTCCGTCACAATTCTGGACAACCCAAAACTTATAACCTATGTCTAACGGTAGAGAATCTACAGAAAATAATTACATTGCACTGTCTCCTGGGAGGATGGTTTTCTAATATGCGATTTTAGCTGCACTCTGCAGCTTAGGAGACCTGGTAGCAGTTACCAAGAAGGGGGCATTCTCTATAAGGCTAGGCTCCAAGGGGTTGTCGGTCGGAATGCCCCTCTAGTCAGCTAGGTATTCGCGAAGCCGAGCCTGGAAGGGGCGATGAGAAAAT